AATAATACTAGAAACCACTCGGCTATAGGTTCCGGTCATCCACCATTATGAACTTTTAGGTCAGCATTATGTTAACAAATCGACAATTCAAAATAATTGAATCATTTTCATTACGATAATGGCTCGATATATTGTCATTGTAAAAACACTATTCATTCGAACATAAGTAGCTCTAACCCAAACATAGCAGTGTGCCAGGGGCCCAAAAGAAGGCTTAGTCATTCAGTTTCAAATTCATTAAAATCATAGTGTATGGTGAGAAATTTAAGGAAACGACTAGGGTTGACATTATTAGGCCTTGATTTGGGCCTATTGCATGGGCTAGATTTGACCTTATGTTCATGAATATTTTGATATACAGGTCCATATCTTCAACAAACCTTTTCTGCGTAAGAGGAAATAAATCTGTTTTCTTGATGTCGCAAAAATTATTAGGAAAAAAAAATTATTTGAAAAAAGGTAGCAAAATTATTAGGAAAAATTTTGAACCGAACAATTTAACCTAACAAATTTAAATTTATCGAAGTGGAGGCGTAGCAAAATTTTGTTATATATAATTGGATGGTTTAAAAAGTTTTATGCAGAAAAAACGGAACCGAACCATAATTATACAATTTCTTTTAACTAATTCAAATGAATCAAATTTTATTTACATAGTTATATTTTACTGAAATTTACATAGTTACCTAGAAAAATAACTAGATTAACACTTTAATATTATGGTTTACTAGACTAACATAATATTTATGTTAAAAGACCAAATACCCATATTATTTTTAATTATATTTAAATAATTTAATTAACATATAATAGTTCAATTAAATAGAAAATTAGAAAAAATACAAAAAATGATAAAAATGAAAAAAATATATAAAACGAAAAAAATATAAAATTTTTAAAATATATATAAATATATATAACGAAAAATAGAAAACAAAATAAAAAATTGAAAAAAAATATAAAACAAAATAAAAATTCAAAACGAAAACAAAAATAGAATTTGAAAAAAAAAATATAAATATATAAATATATAAATATATATATATCTAAAACAAAAAAAAAACTTAATTATACATTAACGAGGAGAAATCCACACATAAGCCATTTATGTTCGGTTTAAATCAGTGTTCAAGAAAGCGCTAGGCGCTAATCGGGCGGTGATCCAGTGCCTAGCGCCTAGAACGTCTAATCGGAGCCTAGGATATTTTTAGGCGGTTTAGACGTTTATAACATAAAATATTATAAATATAATATTATATATAAAAGTTATATAAAATATCTATATAAAACTAAAAATTATGAAATTATAAACAAAAACTAGATAAAACATTTATTTATATTTATATTAAACAATATATAAATATTGATAACTATATATATAAATAAAACTCTAATTGAAATTGAAAAAATACATTAAACAAGATCTATGTAATTTTAGGCGGTCAAAGCAGTTATCTAGGTGTCGCATGAGAGCCTAGCGCCTAATCGGGGCCTAAGCGACCGTCTAGACCGCTTTTTAGAATACTGGTTTAAATAATTCAAAATTTTGCTAGTAAAAATCACTAAATTAACCCAAATTATGAGTTTGATTATTAGAGTGTCTTAAACAATTTAGAGGTTAAATGAATTATTTTGGTTTGTGGATTATGTGTGGTTTTCTTCTCGTTAAATGTATGATTAAGTTTTTTTTTTTTTTTTTTTTGTTTTAGATATATATATATATACTTTTTTTTTCAAATTCTGTTTTTGTTTTCGTTTTGAATTTTTATTTTGTTTTATATTTTTTTCAAATTTTTATTTTGTTTTCAATTTTTTTCGTTATATATATTTATATATATATATATATATATTTTTTTTTTCATTTCTTTTGAATTTTTTCTAGTTATTTTTCTAGGTAACTATGTAAATTTCAGTAAACCCTTACCAAAAAAAAATGTAAATTTCAGTAAAATATAACTATATAAATAAAATTTGATTCATTTGAATTAGTTAAAAGAAATTGTATAGTTATGATTCGGTTCCGTTTTTTCTACATAAAACTTTTTAAACTATCCAATTATATAACAAAATTTTGCTACGTCTCCACTTTGATAAATTTAAATTTTGTTAGGTAAATTGTTCGGTTCAAAATTTTTCCTAAACTCGCCTTACAGCCTACAGGTAATCCGCAAAGACTTTCATTTGTTTGATAAATTATTTTTATATCTTAAAAAATAACTAATCATACTACTAGTTTTAAATTTTCTTCCAAGTTTTATTATCTCCAATTCTCCATTGTGTAAAGAAGAAGACATAGCTAGTAATATAACAGGTTGACCAAACAAATCCTATAAAACAACTTGAATATCTTTGACGATTCAATTTAATTTTCTGTAGCGGATCATTATCTTTATTTATATGAAAGAAATCTAATTTCACAATAATTAAAGGATTAGTGAATGTAGAAGTAATTATTAGATTAGATATGAGACTAATCAAAAAATGAAAGTCAATGCATTTGGCAACAAAGAATGCAAAATTTAATTAAGAAGTTACCAAATAAATAAGGATCTTCTCATTTACCCAGTCAGTTGCAATAACACTAGTTTCTTACGAGTAAAACAGACTATTCAACCACACTAAACATTGCTTCAAGATCCAAACAATCACCAAATATATTTCTTCAACTAAAGATCTTTCAATCCAAATAAATTACTGTAGAGGAGAAAATAAAGAAAGAAAAATAGAGAAGGTGAAAGAAGATGTAGAGCTCCCTTCAATCCAAAGAAGAGTAAAAGCCATTAAAGGGCAAGTTAAAGCTCCTGAGATATGCAAGCCATATAACCAAATCCTTTTTTTTCTTTATAAGGATTAGGGCTTATGGGATCCATAGCTTAGCAGCTTTTCTTTACCCTGCTCAACTCTCGTTTGAACTTCAAGGAGCTCTACTTCCATCTTTTTTTTTCTCGAGAAAATCATTTTGGTCAGACCAAGATCTATCGTGAGACAAAGAAACTTGTCAAATACAGTATGTTATGGATCTGACCTAAGCAAACTATAAAGCCTTTAACTCTTCAAAACATGAGAAGGTTTGATGAGAACTTGGATAGAAAGAAATTCGATCATGTACATGATATATATACTAAAAACACCCAGAGAGGTAAATCACTTCAATTAAAGCTATTGAAGAAACTTCAAAGACTGAAGAAAGAGATAAAGAACCCTAATAATTAACCCTAAATATACTTAGAGAGAAGGAAAGAGAGAGAGAGAAGAGGACACGTCATTTTTTTGTAAGAAGTGATAGATAGAGAGTCGTAATTATAGTGGTTTAGATATTCGTGATTGAGGGAAAAAAAAAAGAAAAAAAAAACAGGTGGGTGTATCTGAAAAGACATGGGAAGGGTCTGACATTGTTTAGTGTTAGATTCCCTACGCGTCACATGCGTCCTTCTCGGCTTTTGTGCTTCTCTCTTTTTTTTTTTGTAAAGATAATAAAAATAACAATTATTATTATTCCTGCCAACTACTACTCCACTATATTTTTAAGACGTAACTTTGAAAATGAATTTGGCCCACCATTCTTTATGACAATGTACAAGTGTTTCCGTTTGGTGACCTAATTCTTAAAAAACTGTTAACCCTAACGATTAGAAATTGCAACACGAAATAGTGAAATAGGTTGATGTATGGTCAGGATTAAGTCTGATGATGTGGGCACGAAAGCACTCTGTCTGAGGAGAATCTATGGCTAGATTTATTTCAACGAACTTGTCTTATTACCCCACGAGTCTCGTCTCTTTCACAATTCAATGGCTTATTTTAGAGTGTTTTTTTTATCCACCGTGTAATTTCTTTTTTTTTTCCGAGTTGTTTGAATAAAATTTGTATAATGAAATTTTTTTTTTTTTTTTTTTTTTGAAAATGTTCACAAGCAAATAATACTTGACCCTGCAAATTCCGAAGAATCCTAAACTTTTTTCTTTTTCTGGTTGATATTCAAATGTTAGGACATCTCCAATCCTATTCTATTTTAGAGTAAAAATACAAAATTCTTCTCCAACCCTACTCTATAATTGACTCTAAAATAGAGATTTCTACCGATTGACTCTATATATAGAGCAACTCTATTCTCTGCTCTATTTTTGAGTTCAACTTTTTTATTTATACTTTAGTCCCTCAAATTTAAACTTTTTTATTTAATACATATAATCATTTTACAAACAACAATTACAACACATAGTTTTATAAACTTAAAAAGCAAACAAGTACTAAATTTAAAATAAACAATATAAGAAAACTAAAACATAAAACTAGTAATTTAATAGTCCGGTAAATTGTTTGTAGATCCGCAAGATAATTAAAATATCTTGTTATTTAAAATAAAATTTGTATTGTTTTATTATTGTTATATGATGTAATGTTTTTTTTAATAAATAATTAGTGTTTAATTTAACTAATATCATATTTTATGGAAATTTTGGAAATCTATAATATATGGGGTTAAATTGTAAATTATATAATTAAAAGGTATTAGTATATAAAATAGAAATAGAATATTTCTAAGAATATTCTTTTTTAGAGTTGAAAATAGAGATATACATTGGAGAGAAACCCTCCTCTAAAATAGAGTTAGAGTAAAATATAGAGCTATACATTGGAGATGGTTTTACCCTTTTTAGTTTGTTTTCTTTCGTTACCTAAAAAAAGTGGACTGATTAGCCTAATTATTTGTGCAAACTTTAATCATTGGGCTGCATCTCTTTCTTATGAACCCATGATATGGGCCCAGAAGTTAACAGTTCGCTTATATAACCTTCACCGAAATAGTTATTTGGGCCTTATATTTGGACTTGATTTCACGCTTCATGAAACGATAGTTAATTTGGTGATGTTCTCCGTCCATGCTGTGGAAAATATGTGCAAGTTGAATATGGCAACTTGTAGATGCAGCAAATACTCTAACAAGAATAAATGTTTCACTATCACTATCCTATGTGTAAAATACGAAAATCCTAATCATATCATTGATGTTCTTTCGAAACCACAAAATTTCAGAAATTGTAAAGCATTGAGATGACTTTACATTCGTCTGAATGGTTCAAGAATCCATATCTATCCTTTTCATTTTCTTGAAAAACTTTTAGTTTTTAAGATATGTTTACGCAATGTTAATATTTGCAATATTTTCCACACTAATATTTGCAATATTTGAAGATTGCGTATTATTGAGCATAGTGGCAGTGTTATGAGCATAGACGTCTGCTCAATAATTTTATTTTATTTTGGTTTAACATACTTTTGAGCATAGTGAGAGTGTTATGTGTTTTCAAAGACACTAACCTATCAAATTTTAAACAGAAGAATATTTGACGAGTCAATGTTGAGTAAACCGGAAATTTTTTGCTTTTTTTTTTTGGGGTAAACTAAAACGACGTCGTGACAGTGGACGCTTCCAGCTTCTTATTTCCAGCTTTAGAGCGTCTGTTTCCTTTTTCGTTTACTTTTCAATATTTTCTCCTCAAATGTCGATTCTTTCTGTGATTGCTCTAACGGCTACTTTTTTCGCCAGAGCATAAGAAACCTCAACGTTAACGATAACAATCAACACAAGTCAATTTCGATCATTGCTTGTAATCTGGTTAGTGAATTCCGGAGATGGATCAGCCAAAAAAAGTTGCCGATAGGTATCTGAAGCGTGAGGTTCTTGGTCAAGGTACTTACGGAGTCGTCTTCAAGGCTACTGATACTAAGGTGATGATTCCTCTCTCAATGCTTCAATAATTTATGTCGATCCCATCAAAACTTAGGGCTTTAGATTCTGTCGCTGATTCTGAATTTCTCCTCTCGTGTGTGCCTTTTGAGGTGTCTCTTCCTAGGAACAATTTGGTTGAATCTGATAGCTTTAAGGTCTTTACTCTTATCTAAAGCTTCGATCTTTATACTAATATGTGCTCTTAGAAGTCAAAGTTTGCATTTTTGGTTTCGTAATGTGTTCTTAGAAGTCAAAGTGTGTAGCTTTTGTTCAGTTTGGATATAAGGAAGCTGATTTGTTTTGTTGTGGCAATTTGTAGAATGGAGAAACTGTAGCGATTAAGAAAATAAGACTTGGTAAAGAAAAAGAAGGTGTGAATGTAACAGCTCTTAGAGAAATCAAATTACTTAAAGAGCTTAAGCATCCACATATAATTGAGTTGATTGATGCATTCCCTCACAAGGAGAACTTGCACATTGTGTTTGAGTTCATGGAGACTGATCTCGAAGCAGTTATCCGCGATCCTAATCTGTTTCTTTCGCCCGCTGATGTCAAATCTTACCTCCAAATGATATTGAAAGGTCTTGAATATTGCCATGACAAATGGGTTTTGCACAGGTACTAACATTAAAGCAGAACTTCTTCTCTCTCTAATAAGATTTGATTTATACTTATGGATGATCATTCGCATTTGTTTCAGAGATATGAAGCCAAACAATTTGTTGATAGGACCCAATGGACAACTGAAACTTGCCGATTTTGGGTTAGCTCGTATATTTGGTAGCCCTGGTCGTAAGTTTACCCACCAGGTACTCTCTTTTTTTTTGTGTGGCAGTGCTATTCTGTTATCTTCGTATCTTGATGTCCTCCTGCAATTTCATAGGTCTTTGCTAGATGGTATAGAGCACCTGAACTTTTGTTTGGTGCAAAACAATATGGTGGTGCAGTTGATGTTTGGGCTGCTGGCTGCATTTTTGCTGAACTTCTATTACGCAGACCATTTCTTCAGGTGAAACTCCATTTTCTTTGTGACGTGATTTGATTAGTCAGTTTATTTGTTTCTCTAGCTTACTTATTCCATTGCAGGGAAACAGTGATATTGATCAATTAAGCAAAATCTTTGCTGCCTTTGGGACCCCAAAAGCAGATCAGTGGCCCGATATGATCTGCCTTCCTGATTATGTAGAGTATCAATTTGTCCCTGCGCCTGCTTTACGTTCTTTACTCCCAACGGTTAGTGAGGATGCATTAGATTTGTTGTCAAAGATGTTTACCTATGATCCCAAGTCTAGAATAACGATTCAGCAGGCTCTACAACACAGGTACCTATAAATATTTCCTATGTAGGATGCATAAGAACCGGTTATTTACTTTTTTTTCTCAAAACTTTGATTTCTTCTTAAAGGTACTTCACATCTGCACCTTCGCCTACTGACCCTTTAAAGCTCCCAAGACCAGTTCGCAAGCAGGACGCTAAGTCATCTGACAGTAAACACGAAGCTATTAAAGTGTTGTCACCAGCACATAAGCTTAGAAGAGTGATGCCTGACCGAGGAAAGTCTGCTAACGGTTTCAAGGAGCAGAGTGTTGATGTCATGAGACAAGCTAGCCATGATGGACAAGCACCGATGTCTTTAGATTTCACCATCCTAGCCGAGCGGCCTCCTAACCGACCAACCATCACGAGGTAAAAAAAAATTGGTTTCAATCCTTTAACAGTAAGTTCTTGGTCAGCTTTAAAGATCAAAACTTTTGATAGATTCTTGATTTTTTGTTTTGCAGTGCGGATAGATCTCATTTGAAGAGGAAACTCGATCTCGAGTTCCTATAGGATATAGCTTAACAGGCTTCTTCTTGACGTCGTTCTTCAGTTCCTATAGCCTATAGGATCTCTAGTTACAGGCTCTTACTGGTTGGTTCCTGAAATTTGTCATATTACAACTAGTGATGACGAATAGTGTGAATCATTCTTTCTGTTTACAATAAAATATAAAGCACAGATGATTAACTAATCATCATGTACACCCATCATAGAACAATCTATCTGTTTTTGGCCTATGCTCAAAAGAGAGTTCTGATCCCAAACTCATTCTTTGTTCATTTCAATTTAAACTCGAGAATTTTTAGCATAGAACATGTTAGTGGATAACAAATATGAATTTTAATCACATTACAAATATGAAATGTGTTTTTAGTTTCGAGTCTTTTGACGGCTCCACAATGCTAGATGACAATGGGTACACACATCTAAGGAATTTCAATAAATATGTAACAATGGTAAAGTTTCCTAAAGACCAATGTAAGGCCACATCAGTTAGAAATTCCCAATAAGTTCATATGGGGATATAAGAATAAAGCACTCATTAGCCAATTATTCATTAACGTTGTTAAGCTCCTTTGCAACTGCTTTTTCCTCAGACGTTTATTGGTCATTGGACGTCACCATCTTTGTCATCTGAAGACCCGACTCTGTTCGAAGCTTTCTTTGCCTAATCATATAAAACAAGAAACAGAATCACATCAAGGCAGAGTTCTTATACATATAAAAATGAACCGATCAGTTAAAAGGTTTTTACCTCTTTATCCCAGTTTGTGAATATAGTGACTAAGGAAAGACACAACACCTGAACAGCCAATGCTGTTACGATTCCCAGCCAAAGCCCCTAAAATATGAAGATACCACAAATAAAGTTTCTATAAAACTAGTCTTGGGTTTGAACTTGACAATGAGAAAGAGAGTTTAAGATTATTACCCGACCACCAATGTGGAAATGGAAACCAAGTAATAATCCTAATGGAACTCCTACGAGATAATATGATCCAAGATTCACACACGCTCCAATTTTTTGCCATCCACATCCTCTAGCAACCCCTGCAACCATAAATCAAAACCATTTAACCGGGATTCAAACCGGACATATATATAAACCAGGAACCAAAGCCAATCTTGTGTCATTTTAAAACCTGAGAGAACACATTGGAGGCCATCAAGGAAGTTTCCACATGCAACAATTGGTATCATTGATGCGACATATGCGATGATTTTCGGGTCACTGCTAAAAGCGTGACCTAAGATCTTCCGAATCGACAACAAAACCGTTACCACCACAATTCCCTCGGCTACTGCTATGCCTACAATGACATATACAGCCAGTTTTGCCACGTGTGGATTCCCTGCTCCTAACTCATTCGAGACTCTTATGCTGCAAGTTAAAGAAACACACAAGTGAGGTAGGTTGGTTTGATGAGATTGTTTTATATGTTCTTTGGAAATTTTTGTTACTGACCTCGCAGCGCCACCAAGACCAACCGAAATCTGCCAGATTGTTAGTGAAGTATTTAGACTGAAAAGTTGCAGAAATGAGGTTGATCAAATATATAAAAAAGGAAGTACACAAACTCTGAGTGAGTACCATAAGACCAAGATAACAAATTCTACCAGATTGAAAGCACCGAAGTTTCTAAAACCGGATTAGGAAGAAGGCCTGAGGCAAGAACCAGAAGCTCGAAGGACCAAAGCTCCAAACTGTTACAAACAGAATTTGATTAAATGCGAATACTAGAACCAGAACAGCGCAGCATTTTTTTGTTACATCACTTACCAGACCATGACTGCTGAAGGAAAAGCAATTTTAGAGAAATCATAAAGTTCTTGAAAAGCCTCCATCGAAAACCCGGTCCAACTATGCGAGCAAGAAGGTGAAAGCTTGACATAACACGAGAGGAGAATGACGTTGAACCAGTAGGAGACCGAGATAGCGAGAGCAGCTCCTCTGTATCCTAAACCAGTCTTCAAGACAAACAACCAACAGAGAAGTAAATGAAGACAAGTGGTGATACCAGAGCAGACAAAGACAGGGAAGACATTGTTCTGCGCTTGCAAGAACCTGTTAATACATTGAAGTAATCCGTAGGCGAAGAGACTCGGGATCATGTATTTAGCGTAGGAGCCAGCAACACTTGCAATGGACTTGTCTTGATGGACCAATACGAGAATCTGTTCTGTGTTAGCCCAAATGATTGAGAGAGGAACAGAGAGTATAAGAAGAACAAACATTGCTCTCTGCATATGAATTCCCAGTTTTCCGTATAGTTTTGCTCCGTACGCTTGGCCACATAAAGTCTCCAATGCACTCGCTGTTCCCAACTGTTTCACATATGTACATACAAACTTTGAACAAAGTTACAAAACAGAGGATACTAAGGTGGTGCTATTGAATGTTATGTCTTTTAAAGTCAAGGCCATATTTCAGTGTTATTCAATTATGTATTTTGTTAAAATTCATTGTATTTGGATTAGGCATTTGTACCATGTAGTTTTTTAAAATACAACAAAATCACCTGTTATTCAAAATCTCTTTACATAATCTCTTTAACGTAAGTGTTCTGTAACTTTGTTTTGTAAAATCACCAACTGTTTCATTAGATTTTACTTATAACAGATTTTGATGTATTCTTTCATCTCTTACACGACTAATCCAAATCAGAGCTTTCTAATCTGTATTCTGAAATCAGACGTCCCGTTAGATATTGGAGATGCAGCGTTTTGGATGATGAAAAGGTGAGTTTTTAGCCACAATTTTCGCGTTGGATCGTGAGAGATGGGATGGGATGAAGAAACGTACGAGGAAGGTGAAGCCGGTGACAGAGGCGAAGGAGGTGGCGATAGAGGCGGCAGAGAGGGGAAGAGAGCCGAGATGGCCGACGAACATGACGGAGATGACTTGGAGAGAGTATTGAAGAAGGCTAACACCAATGAGTGGTGCAGAAAGCCATAGCTGTTTCTTCACTTCCTCCTTCACACGAATCATCGTCGTGTCTCTCTCTGTGATCAGAAGCGGAGTCGTCACACCATCTTCCATTTTCTTTCTCTGTCTCTCTCTCTCCCCCAACTCAAAAATCAAAAAATAGAATAACAACAAAGAACAAACTACGTACTATCTCTGGTTTCCTGGTCTTTAGGGCTCGTGTGGAGACTATCTACATATTTGTTTTCTTTTACCTTTGCACAACGGACATAGAAAAGGCCCAACTTCATAACCTTTTAAAGCCCAATCTAATTATTTTGTAAAGCCCAGCCTCAACGCAAAGATTTTCGGAGTCGCATATGAGTCTTCTTCAACCCCTAAAGACTTGAGATAATCTCTGAGCAGTTTCTTAGAGAAGAAACATGCTTCAGCCAAGTAGTCACTACTCTTCCTCTAGAGATTTCAGACATCATCATCGTCTAGCTCTCAGTTCTAAAGCTAGGGTTTTTCCACCTCCTCCTCTTCCCTGTAACTTCTCCTCTAGGGTTACTTTCAGGCTTCTTCAACTTAATTGCTCCTCTTCTTCTCCTTCTTCAGTTTCTCCAGCTCGATGCTCTAAGCCTAACCCGAGCTCTCGAAAACGCAAATATGGCGGCGTAATCCCTTCCATTTTGCGTTCTCTTGACTCTTCCACTGATATTGAAACAACTCTAGCTTCTCTTTGTCTCAATTTAAGCCCTAAAGAACAAACTGTTCTTCTTAAAGAGCAGACTCGTTGGGACAGAGTTCTTCGTGTGTTTCGATTTTTCCAGTCTCACCAAAGTTATGTTCCTAATGTGATTCATTACAACATTGTGTTACGAGCTTTGGGGAGAGCTGGGAAATGGGATGAATTGAGGCTTTGTTGGATTGAGATGGCTCATAATGGTGTTTTGCCTACTAACAATACTTATGGTATGCTTGTTGATGTTTATGGTAAAGCTGGTCTTGTTAAGGAAGCTCTTCTTTGGATTAAACATATGGGTCAGAGAATGCATTTCCCTGATGAAGTCACTATGGCTACTGTTGTTCGAGTTTTCAAGAATTCCGGTGAGTTTGATCGCGCTGATAGGTTCTTTAAAGGTTGGTGCGCTGGAAAAGTTAATCTTGATGATCTTGATTTGGATTCTATTGATGATTTTCCTAAGAATGGCTCAGCTCAATCTCCTGTGAACTTGAAGCAGTTCTTGTCCATGGAGCTCTTTAAGGTTGGTGCAAGGAACCCTATTGAGAAAAGTCTGCATTTTGCATCTGGGTCAGACTCTTCTCCGAGGAAGCCAAGGTTAACTTCCACCTTCAACACTCTGATTGATTTGTACGGGAAGGCAGGTCGTTTAAACGATGCAGCCAATCTCTTCTCGGAGATGTTGAAATCTGGAGTACCTATAGATACTGTAACGTTTAACACGATGATACATACTTGTGGAACTCATGGGCACTTGTCAGAGGCTGAATCTTTATTGAAGAAGATGGAAGAGAAAGGGATATCCCCTGATACTAAGACATATAACATCCTTTTGTCTCTTCATGCCGATGCTGGGGACATTGAGGCAGCTCTTAAATACTATAGGAATATTAGGAAAGTGGGACTTTTTCCTGATACTGTAACTCACCGAGCTGTTCTTCATATCTTGTGCCAGCGGAAAATGGTTGCAGAAGCTGAAGCTGTGATGGCCGAGATGGACAGAAATAGCATTCGCATTGATGAGCACTCTGTTCCTGTTATTATGCAGATGTATGTCAATGAAGGTTTAGTCGGACAGGCGAAAGCTCTGTTCGAGAGGTTCCAGTTGGATTGTGTGCTTTCGTCAACCACACTTGCAGCGGTAATGGATGTCTATGCTGAAAAGGGACTGTGGGTTGAAGCGGAGACTGTGTTCTATGGGAAAAGAAACATGACAGGTCAGAGGAATGATGTTTTGGAGTACAATGTCATGATCAAAGCTTATGGTAAGGCCAAACTTCATGAGAAAGCACTTTCTATCTTCAAAGGGATGAAGAACCAAGGGACTTGGCCTGATGAGTGCACTTACAATTCCCTTATCCAGATGCTTGCTGGGGTTGACTTAGTGGACGATGCCCAGAGGATATTGGCTGAAATGCTGGATTCGGGCTGTAAACCCGGATGCAAGACCTATGCTGCTTTGATAGCTAGCTATGTGCGGCTTGGCCTGTTGTCTGATGCAGTTGACCTGTACGAGGCAATGAAAAAAACAGGGGTGAAGCCGAATGAAGTTGTTTATGGTTCCTTAATTAATGGGTTTGCTGAGAGTGGAATGGTCGAAGAAGCGATTCAATACTTTAAATTGATGGAAGAACATGGTGTTCAGTCCAATCATATCGTTCTGACTTCCCTTATCAAGGCTTATAGCAAAGTGGGGTGTCTTGAAGAAGCTAGGAGAGTGTATGACAAAATGAAGGATTCAGGAGGTGGCCCAGATGTTGCTGCATCAAACAGCATGCTAAGTCTCTGTGCAGATCTCGGCATAGTTTCAGAAGCAGAATCCATTTTCAATGATCTGAGAGAAAAAGGCACATGTGATGTCATTTCGTTTGCAACAATGATGTATTTATACAAGGGAATGGGCATGCTCGATGAGGCCATTGAAGTGGCTGAAGAGATGAGAGAGTCTGGTCTACTAAGAGACTGCACTTCGTTCAACCAGGTTTTGGCTTGCTACGCCGCTGATGGGCAGTTACGTGAATGCTGTGAACTGTTTCATGAGATGCTAGTTGAAAGAAAGCTCTTGCTGGATTGGGGAACGTTTAAAACACTCTTCACTCTGTTGAAGAAAGGTGGGGTGCCAAGTGAAGCTGTGGCACAGCTACAAACCGCCTATAACGAAGCTAAACCACTTGCCACACCAGCTATAACTGCAACTCTGTTTTCAGCCATGGGTCTGTATGCATACGCGCTGGAATCATGCCAAGAGCTCACAAGAGATGAAATCCCTCGCGAGCATTATGCGTACAACGCAGTGATATACACTTATAGCGCATCAGGAGATATTGACATGGCCCTAAAGACATACATGAGAATGCAGGAAAAGGGTTTAGAACCAGATGTTGTCACACAGGCCTACCTTGTTGGGATATACGGAAAAGCTGGAATGGTGGAAGGTGTGAAGAGGGTACATAGCCGGCTTACGTTTGGGGAGCTCGAACCAAACCAGTCGTTGTTTAAAGCAGTTAGAGATGCTTATGTGAGTGCAAACAGACAGGACTTGGCTGATGTGGTGAAGAAAGAGATGAGCATTGCTTTTGAAGCTGAAAGGGAGTGTAGTTCAAGATCTGGGGAAGAAGAAGAAGAAGAAGAAGAGGAGGAGGAATCTGAAGAAGACGAGGCATTTTGAAGTGTAGCCAACAATGTATGTAGGAAGATTGTAGAATATAGGATTTAGTGGAAATGGACTGTACAGTTTGACAGAAGCCAAAAGGAAATATGCATACTTTCAGTCTCAGATTGATCTCTGGTAAAGAAATGTGTATCTTAAAACTGTTATAGAAAGAAAAAAGAAATGTTCCACAAGGTCAAATCTATAAAAGCGAGCAGCTTTGGCTATGGTTTTGCTAGAGGAAATAGCATAAGCCCCTTGCAACAACAGATTGATTTGCATCAACTGGTTGGTCTTCTGTTGGTTTTGGTCTCTGGATTGAACATCTTTCTCCTGACTTGCTTGCTCCTATTTTCAATTGTATAGCATCAAAAGCCCATGAAAAGAGCCAGATGTTCTGGAATTGATTCCAATTTGGACTCCTGTCAGTTACAGGTGATGAATATCAACATGGAAGATGTGAAACAGAGCTGTCTTGAAATGTGTTTATTGATGTTACTGTCTTTCTCTAAAAGTTCAAAATGTAAAAAGAGTGTGAAGCTAGCACAAGCTGTATGTATGTAAGCAATGTTTTGTAATTTTAAATTTACAAAATAGCACTCAGAGTTTCTGAACATTTAATTTTGACCCATATATTTGATATTCTTAACATTGCCCTGGAATTAAAACCCAATTGAAACTCATTGGCGTGTGTTTTCTCCTCCACCCTCACCACTTAGCGTCGTCTCCGGCGAAAACCCACTACGACTGACTATGGCGCTCGAAATCGAAGCTCGAGAGTAAGATTTCGCTTTCTTTTACAAACCCTAGTTTTCGTTTTAGTTGCACTGATTGAATTGTGTTCCAAGAACCATCGTTTACGAATGCTCAGACGGATCTTAGGTTACATGTTTGGAGAAAACCTCTTGAATAGTCGTCTGTCTATATCCTCCATACTAAATTTATGGTTTTTGAATCTACCCATATTTTGTTTAAGCTTGGTTCTTCTAAAGCCAATGCCTTAGGAATATCTAGACTCCGTTGAGGCAAACCCCAATTTGTGTAAATTTTCTCTTGTTAATTCTTTGCTTGGATTGAAACCAATGACAGTACTATTAGTCACTTTGTTAGTAAAATTGGATGGAGAACGTATTGATGATATATGTCAGCTTTGTGTAGTTCTTCATCACTAATAGCTCTCTATTGTGTTGAATCTCTCAGTGTTATAAAGATTATGCTTCAGTTCTGCAAAGAAAACTCCTTGAATCAGACATTCCAGACATTACAAAGCGAATGTCAGGTTTCTTTAAATACAGTAGACAGCGTCGAGACGTTTATTTCTGATATTAATAGTGGAAGATGGGACTCAGTACTACCTCAAGTTTCTCAGCTTAAACTTCCCAGGAATAAACTAGAAGACCTTTATGAACAGGTTACTTTTTTTTTTTACTCTGTGAAATGTAGACGTATATAAAACTCGTGATTGTCATTGTAAGTTTTGTTTATTTTCGGGGTAATTTTTTCAGATTGTATTGGAGATGATAGAACTTCGAGAGTTGGACACTGCCCGAGCTATTTTGAGACAGACTCAGGTGATGGGTGTCATGAAGCAGGAGCAACCAGAAAGATATTTGCGGATGGAGCATCTTCTAGTCAGAAGCTATTTTGATCCGCATGAGGTATGTAAGCTATAATATGCTTGACTAGTCAGTATCACGTTGAGTGTTGTTTTTGTTGTTGTTTGTCACCTAAGCATGGTTGTCCTTGTTCAACAGTTAAAACAATGTTGGCATATCTGCTAGATATTGTATATCTCTTGCATTTTCTGTACTCAAAATTGTACAGTACGTGCGACTTTTGATGTCTTTCAAAATCATAAGTAGAACCAGTGAGCTGTTTAAACATGAAGTTGTTTCTAGATAAGGGTCTCAAAGTATAACACATGCTCCGTGTCTGTGAGTACAAAAGGATCTTTACATTTTTACTACCTCTTTAACATGTTGAGGGATTTGACTATTCTATCTAATAAGTCTTTTGAGGTGTATTGTCTCTTAGTCATTGTTCATGTTATGCACCAAGAGTGGTTTTTTCATGTAATCATTTCCTTGTGTGTTTGAAAAATATGGTTTGCTGATTTTACTTTTGTTTCTAAGGCTTATGGAGACTCAACTAAAGAAAGAAAACGGGCACAGATTGCTCAAGGTTGGCCATTTCTTCTTTGTTTTCTAAAAGAACAATTTTCTTCAATTATTGTGGGATTAATTACCTGAAGGAACTAAATGATGTTCTAGAATATTCTCTCTATTTCATGCTTAAGAATATTTTATGACATGAAAAGAAGCTATGACGAGAATTTAATTCCTGTTTAATGGTTATGGAGTTTTTGTTTTCTCGTGCTCAGTATGTACTCAAGGTTCACTAATTGTTTGTTCTCCTACTTAATCAGCTGTGGCTGCCGAGGTTACCGTGGTACCACCTTCACGGCTAATGGCTTTGATAGGTCAGGCTTTAAAGTGGCAACAACATCAAGGTGATTATCTAAGGAACTGTGGATGCTAGCAAACAGTTCTGTAGAATTTTAAGTCAAATTTCATCTATTTTCCTTCTTTTTTTTGTCTACGTTACTAATATATCAATGGAATCAACATATGTACCCTCAACTCATTTCATAAAATTTACGTACATTTGTGTCAGGTCTGCTCCCTCCAGGAACACAGTTTGACCTCTTTCGTGGGACGGCAGCTATGAAACAAGATGTAGAAGACACACATCCCAATGCTCTTACACATACCATAAAGGTTCATATTCATCACAACAACTTTAATAGCCTTTTTTGCTTAGTGGTCTATGATCTGTTGTTCATAATTATTTTGGGTTTTCTCATCAGTTGACTTCTTGTCTAATTTTCATATCTCGTTCCTTGTGCTGGTGCAGTTTGGTAAAAAGAGTCATGCCGAATGCGCTAGATTCTCACCAGATGGACAGTTTCTTGCCTCTTCTTCTGTTGATGGTTTTATCGAGGTGAGTTGATCCGGAATCTGTATGTATGATAATACAAGTCTAATAGTCTTTAAAATAATACTGTGACTAGGATTGTTCAGACTTGAAAAGCATTACAGGTATGGGATTACATAAGTGGGAAGCTGAAGAAGGATTTGCAGTATCAAGCTGATGTAAGCTCTCGTGTCTTCTTTTCATTTTTTATTCTAACTCAGTAGTGAGTCAGATGAGCTGTTTGTACATTTTAAGCAAATGAAAACAATCCTTACTGCATCTGGTTATTGAACGGGTGACAAGTCCGTGAGAATGATATGGCGTATTACTTTTTGCTTTTTATTCCAAAAATGTCGCCCATGAAATTCCTGAAGCACCAAGTATATGGTGGATTACTTTTATCTTTGAATTCCAAAAAGTTTCCCAATGAAACTCCTAAAGCACCCAGTATCTCGTCTGAGACTTCCTGGTATACAAAATATCAGCTTTGGGTAAAGAGTACCCATTCCATCCTCTTTACTTACAATGATTAATTTCTGACAGGAAACTTTCATGATGCATGATGATCCTGTCCTTTGCATAGATTTTAGCAGAGATTCAGAGTTGCTTGCATCTGGGTCACAAGATGGAAAGATTAAAGTAAGTTCCTGCTGCATATGTTTTCTTAAAGTCGAAATTTTTGGTCTGAAGATAGACTATTGCAGCAGTACGATTTTTCTTCTTCCTCTCATTGTTCCCTATGAGTTTTGATTGTATACAATAAGAAAACTAGACTTAGATGCATGTCTCTTTTGCAGATCTGGCGTATAAGGACTGGTCTATGTATACGTCGTTTTGAGCATGCACATTCCCAAGGAGTTACAAGTCTTTCCTTCTCTCGGGATGGAAGCCAATTACTGAGTACCTCCTTTGACCAAACTGCAAGGTTTTATTAGTTATATCTTTTTTATTTATTTTGTACTTCGTCCAATGGAAAAACATTAATATTTTCCCTTTCATTTGGTAGTTATGTAAGTTTATTGGTAAATCTTCTGGTCGAATATAATACAAAATTCTTATTATATCTTTTGCTTTATTTTATGCAGAATTCATGGTTTGAAATCTGGGAAATTGTTGAAAGAATTTCGCGGTCACACATCTTATGTAAATAATGCCATCTTTACAAGTGATGGAAGCCGTATAATCACTGCCTCCAGTGATTGTACAGTAAAGGTATATTCTTCGGCTTTGGCTGTCTACCATCAGCAATATCAGTGTTTCTTATTTAGACTCTACCTTCTGCCGTGTAATAGCAGTCTTGTTTCCTAGCACAGGTCTGGGATTCTAAGACGACAGATTGTCTACAAACATTCAAGCCGCCACCTCCATTAAGGGTATCTTTTCTATTACAGATTCATATACATCTTGTAATGCTCTTTCTGATCTTCTGTAGCAAACTCTTTGGTTACCAAATCTAAATTTTGAAATATAGGGAGGTGACGCATCAGTCAACTCTATTCATTTGTTCCCCAAAAACACAGAACACATTGTTGTGTGCAACAAGACATCATCTATATACATCATGACGCTCCAAGGACAGGTGAATTTTCAGCAACAGTCTCATGCAAATCTCATGCCAAAACTAAGGTTGTTCACATACTTCTATATTGTAATCCTTTTGCAGGTTGTGAAGAGTTTCTCATCGGGTAATAGGGAAGGAGGGGATTTTGTAGCAGCATGTGTATCTACAAAAGGAGATTGGATATACTGCATCGGCGAAGACAAGTAACTCTAACCTCCCATATCTATCGTTTTATATTTGGATAAATTCCACGAGTTTGATTTCAAAGGATAATCTTATGGTTCCTTTCTTTTCGGGATTCATCTTCTGCCTTCGATGTTCGTAATGGTGTTTGCACTAACTTGCAGGAAATTGTACTGCTTCAACTATCAAACCGGTGGACTTGAGCATTTCATGATGGTAAGTTCATCACCGTAATAGACATGCTCCAAAAGATTTTGGATGTTGGAAATTTGAAAGTTGCATTTGAGACAAACACATAAAATTAACTCACTAGAGTGATGAAGTCCCTTGTGTTTTATAATGTATTCAATCTGTTCTCCATTTTAGAGCTGAGACTATAATCCTCTATCTCTCTCTCTCTCTTAATACTTGTCTTAGTTGTCTTTT